GAGGGGGTGGGGGCAGAAAGAAGAGACGAAAGCAAACGACAGAACATTGCTAGAGAGCAGGAAATGAGGTGAAAGGAGACAAATTTAGAGAAGAAAATGTTTCGGTCGCTACCCGGATTCGAACCCGGGACCTTTTGAGTGAGAGGCCAATACCTTAACCTCTAGGCCACGAGAGCCCCACTCGGTACGCAAAGAGTTAAAGTGACGTATTATACTGTGTCGAGCTCAAAGGGTTAAAGTAACGTATTATACTGTGTCGAGCTCAAAGGGTTAAAGTAACGTATTATACTGTGTCGAGCTCAAAGGGTTCTAGCAGAGAGGGTTGGTTCTAGTCTGGAGTACCAAAGACAGACGAGCCATCTCTCGGAAAGAAGTCTTTATCGAGCCAGTGCTGTCTTCGAGGTAATAAATATCTGGTAAAAAGACAGCTGGTGTTTTTTCTCGCTTTTTTTGGCCATGTCAGACGGAGGTGAGGGAGGGAGGGGAGGAGGAGGGCTTCATTGAGGCGGGGGAGGGGAGGAAGAAGGTTTTATTGAGGCGGGGGAGGGGAGGAGGAAGGCTTTATTGAGGCAGGGGAGGGGAGGGCACGTCAGAGGGAGGTGAGAGAGGGGAGGTTTGAGGCGGGGGAAGGAGGATGAAGTTTTGATTGAGGCGGGGTAAGGAGGGGGGGGGGTCATTGAGGTGAGAGAAGGGAGGAGGAAGGTTTCATTGAGGTGGGGGAGGGAAGGGGGGGGGGGGACTCAGAAGTTGAGGGTACAGTTCTCTAGATGTAGAAGTACAGACACATAAACACTTCCCACTCTCAGAAAAAAACAGAACAGAGAAGAAAAGGAGACACATATGTAAGGCAGCGTCGTGGAATCAGGCTCTCGTCAATTTTGGGGCATATTGAGTTATTGGTATCATCTTAAAGCTTGTTCATTATTTTGTCTTGCTTTCAATTAAAAAATTACCCATCCATCTTCCATAGAAGTGGATATATTTTGGATTGAAGAGGTGGGGGTCACCTGATTTAAGAGGTAAAATTAGCAAAAAAATAGTCGCCAAAACTTGGTAAAGTCCAAAGCTGGAGAGTCCATGGAAACTGCAAATTTATATTTGTGTGCCTTTAATCAACGTTTTCGTTGAAATATTCAATGGATTGTTGAGCCAAAAAAACGAAACTTTGATAAAACTTGCAAAGTAGGGAGAAAACTGCTGTTTTCTTCGATTTCATTATTTTGTCGAGAGCCTGATTCCACCACGCTACCTCACATATACACTCTTCACTCTCACAAAACAGAGCGGCACAGAAAAGGATAATGCATGTATTCCCCATCTCTTCACACTGGTGAATGTGGTGTACACTGGTGTCTGTGGTGTATGTAATGGTGTCTATGGTGTACACTGGTGTCTGTGGTGTACACTGGTGTCTGTGGTGTATGTCATGGTGTCTGTGGTGTACACTGGTGAAGGTGGTGTACACTGGTGTCTGTGGTGTATGTAATGGTGTCTGTGGTGTACACTGGTGTCTGTGGTGTATGTAATGGTGTCTGTGGTGTACACTGGTGTCTGTGGTGTATGTAATGGTGTCTGTGGTGT